TACATGCACACACATACCCATGCACACACCCATACACATCCACACACAGGCACACCCCCTCCACACACGTGCCATGCACACCTCACACCCATCCATACCTGCACATGCTTGCACACTCACCTGTGCACACAATCATACATGCATGCATACCCCACACACAGACCCACACACCTGTGCACACGCCCATACACATCATTCCCACACCCACATGTGCACACACTGTACATACCTGCACACACCCACATGTGCACATGGTCAACACCCACCCACTCAGGCACTCCTACATGCACACATGCGCACATGCACACAGACAAGGCCACTTTCATGGGCACACACCCACACACTCCCACATATACACACATGCCCACCTAAACCACTCACTTGACCAGATAGCAGTGTTTTTCAACCACAGCACAGAGACTGGGGATGCATAGGACATCATGTAGCCACGCTGGCCTCTGCCCATCGGATAGAGCACCTCTCCCTCCCATAGTGGCAATCAGAAGTGCCTCCAGGTATTGCTACACGTCTCCAGTGGGGCGGGGGTTCCCCCAGCTGAGAACCCGGGGGACCATATGGTGGTTGCCAGCTGGCACCCCGGGAGGGCACGCCCGCCTGCTGCATGACCTGGCGAGTCAGGGTGTCTCCTCACCTCTGACAGCCTGGGAGATGGTGGGGCCTGTGCAAGGGTCATGCCAAGGCTTAGATGTGAAACCCCACGTGGGGCGTGCACACAGGAAGTGCTCAACCTGCGTTCGAGGACGTGGGGAGGCAGGCCCTCCTCACCCCTCCAGGCACTGACAGGAGCCACTGTCCAGGAGGAGAAGGTGGTGGTGCTGCCCTCACCCAGACGCAGTTGTGGGCGGCAGGCGCCAGGGCTGCCGGGCACAGGCATCGTCTTAGGGAGGATGGGCCCCCAGGCTCACATGCTGCACTCCAGAGCTCAGGGGCCGGCACTTCTGCCTGCTGTCTGGGGACTTGGGGAAGCCCCAGAGGAGAAGGCCGTGACCCCTAGTCTCTCCCTGCACAGCCCCTGCCTCCACCCCGGAGAGGCCTCATCACCAAGCGCTGAGCTGCCCTGGGGGAGACCGTGGGGGAGACCGTGGGGGAGACCCTCCTTGGCTGGTTCCCGAGGCCCGTTTCCTTGTTTGTTTTTTAAGAGGGTGGTCCCAGCTCCCTGCCTCGGCCTCCCAAGGTGCTGGGACTGCAGGTGCATCGCTGTGCCCGGTTCCTGGGACTCCTAAAATACAGACACAGCGGTGACGGGGGCATCACATGGTGACAAGAGCAAGGTCCAGAAACAGGGAAGGGGGAAAAGCCTGGCCCCGCCTTGAGGACGCGCTGCTGTGGGCTCTGACGGCTGAATGAAGGACACAGCTGTCTGCTCCTCCTGTCCTGCCCACCCCACCACCCCGGCACCCCTGACGCACCACATCTGCTCATTTCTTTACTGTCAGTCTCCACCACCCTCCCCATCCCGAACACAGGCTTCTGTGAGAGGGATTTGGGGCTCCCGCGCAATTGCTGGGGGGGCCTCCTTGGATTTCCACCGCACCGGGCATGAGCGCCACCACCAGGAGCTCAGCTTTTCAGGAGAACGCCTGGTCCTGAAGCTTTCTAGGCATTTCAGTAGCCAAACCCTCTTGATCATGTGGTTCCAGAAAAAGTCAGTGTGGCACCCACTTCCCCATGCTGCAGCCCCTGTGGTCCCGGGAAGAGGGCTTGGTTCCGCAGAGCTGAGGAGGGAAGTGGTCTCAGGGAGTAGCAGGGAGGCCTCGGAGGGAGGTGGCGGAGCAGGCTCTGCTCCTTAGGAAGTGCCCTGCGAGTGGCTCCCGACGGACCCAAGAGGCGCTCTGGGGGACGAGTTATGGCTCTGAGCTGCCCGTGCCAGGCAGGGAGGCTGTGTTCTCATGCGTTCACCCCTCAGTCCCTGGGTACGGGCCTCCCAGGATGTATACCCAGCATCCTGGTCATGCAGAGGCCTGGGAAAGCCTGTTGAGGCTGGAGGGGTGGGGGCACACTCTGGTGTGTTGGGGCACCTGTGTCATGGGCATGGCTCCCCATTTAGGGAAGGCACTGCAGTGATCACGCACTGCCAGTAAGTATTTCAGAGCCCAAAACGCGAAAACAAATGGGAGCAGTTCCATGTCATAGTGAATCTTGGCTGTGTGCGGTGGCTCACCTGTAATCCCAGCACTTTGGGAGGCTGAGGCGGGCGGATCACTTGAGGTCAGGAGTTTGAGACCAACCTGGCCAACATGGTGAAACCCTGTCTCTACTAAAAATACAAAAATTAGCCGGGCGTGGTGGCGGGCGCCTGTAATCCCAGCTACTCGGGAGGCTGAGGCAGGAGAATCGCTTGATCCCGGGAGGTTGCAGTGAGCCGAGATCGCGTGGTTGCACTCCAGCCTGGGCGGCGGGGTGAGACTCTGTCTCAAAACAAACAAACAAACAAACACAAAACAGTGAATGTTTTTATTACAAATAACAAACGTTCGATTTTACATACCACACCTCATTTCCCCAGGGGTTTCTGAGGCCGCTCCCTGCCCACCCTCCTTCATTCTCTCCGCAGTGTTTGAGGCATGTTTTGTGCCAGGCCCCTCCCAGGGCTGCTAACAAGAAAACATAAAATAAAAATGGCAGAGAAGCGAGTGCCTCCCGCGTATGGCAATGCCAGTCACGAGCCAAACGGCTGAACGCGGCCCATGTCTCCTCCCTCCGGGCGTCCGGGGTCCCCTGCTCAGGCCTCACCAGTGCATGCAGCCCGGACGTCAGACCGCTACCGTCTCACTCAAGGCTCCCGTGGGCCAGGGTCCACCTGGACTCCACTCCTCGGGATATTGGCAGGATCCCAGGCCCTGCGGCTGTGGACTCCGGACTTTACTTCCTTGCTGGCCAGAGGCTGCATGAGCTTCCAGAGGCCACCTGCTCTTCCTGTCACCTGGGGCTCCCCAGCCCGGCCATGGGCTTCCTCAGAGCCACAGGGGAGGGACAGGCTCCATAGAAATGAGCGTTGCAGTCCCGCGTAACACAATCACGTTCCTCCACTCCCCTTTGCTGTGTTCTGTGGGTTAGAAGGTGGTTATCACTGGGACACCAAACAAGGGTGTCACCAACAGGAGGTGGGGGGCCTTGGGAGTCTGGCTGCCACACAGGAGGAAATGACAGCTCCACTCTGTCACTGAACCTGAGCTCAGCAGCAGCCTTGAGTGTCCTGGCAGCCACGTGGGAAAGGGACTCTGCTCAGAACACACATGCGGGAGCAGAACACACTCCTGCTCTCCAGCCCAGCGCCGAGCCCATCACAGGGGCAGGTGTCCTGGGCCTCCGGTCTCAAGGGCATCATTTCTGTGCAGGCAACAGTCACTGGACTGTCCTTTCACACCCTCTGGACACACAGACAACACAAGTGGTTCCCAGAAGCCTCTGTGTCCTGTCAGGAGGTAACAGGTGGGGGTGGCTGTCCTCTGTGTCCCATCAGGTGGTGATAAGCAGGGGTGGCTGTCCCCTGTGTCCTGTCACATGGTGACAAGTGGGGATGACTGTCCCTCTGTGTCCTTCCAGGTGGTGACAGGTGGGGGTGGCTGTCCCGTGTCCCGTCAGGTGGTGACAGGTGGGGGTGACTGTCCCTTGTGTCCTGTCAGGTGGTGACAGGTGGGGGTGGCTGTCCTCTGCGTCCTCCCAGGTGGTGACGGGGGGGTGGCTGTCCCCTCTGTCCTGCCAGGTGGTGACAGGTGGGGGTCGCTGTCCCCCTGTGTCCTCTTATGTGGTGACAGGTGTGGGTGGCTTTCTTCTGTGTCCTCCCAGGTGGTGGCAGGTGGGGTTGAGTGTCCCATGTCCCATCAGGTGGTGACAGGTATAGGTGACTGTCCCTTTGTTGTCCTCCCAGGTGGTGACAGGTAGGGTGACTGTCCTATGTCCTGTCAGGTGGTGACAGGTGGGGGTGGCTGTCCCCTCTGTCCTCCCAGGTGGTGACAGGTGGGTGACTGTCCCCTGTGTCCTGTCAGGTGGTGACAGGTGGGTGACTGTCCCCTGTGTCCTGTCAGGTGGTGACAGGTGGGGTGACTGTCCCCTCTGTCCTCCCAGGTGGTAACAGGTGGGAGTAGCTTTCCTCTGTATCCTGTCGGGTGGTGGCAGGTGCAGGTGGCTGTCCTCTGTGTCATGACCCCACCTGTGTGATGGCAAGGCCAGGCTCATCTCCAGAAACCTCAGGTCAGCGATCCCCACCGAAGCCTTTTAACATCATGGCAGAATCTGGAAAGTCTGTTTTATTTCATTATCTGAAATACTTTTAAGAGCTGATAACAGTAGCATTAGACTGATAGTTACACGCATCTGGGACATCCTGGCACCGGTGCATAAACGTCAAAGCCATTTCCATCATTTAACTTGTCCAGTCCTTTCAACAACCTTCTGTGCTGGGCGTGATGACCTGCTGTCTGCACAGATAAGTAAACTGAGGCACAGGTGCCAGGACCCTTGCCAAAAAGTGAGGGAGCCAGAGGTTCTAACCCAGGGCCCCGGCCCCGAGCTCACCCTTGCCCTCTCCCATCCACTTGCTCCCTCCACAACCCCGATGCCCGGCCCTGGGTGGAGAAAGTACAGGGAGGGCCTGCAGCTGCCCAGCAGTGTCCCAGCAACAGGACCCGGAGCAAACCAGGCCTCGGCATGGGTGCGGGATGAACTCAGGGCACCGGTGGGCCGTTGGCTGTTTTTGGGTAACTGACCTACAGGTGATTTCTTTTTCCTTTTCTTCCTAAGCTTTAAAAATTACCATTGTGATATGATAGAACTTTTCAGAATTTTAGATACAGTTTCTCTGTGTGAACAAGGCTTAGCGGATATGAGAATGTTTCTGTAGCTTACAGGTCATAATACTATCTTTGAATACACATATTGAAAAGCCACTTAAATATTAACCTTTGATTCTGAACTAGGATGAGCTTAACGGTGGGGATCTGCAGGGCGTGGCTGGCTGGAGCCCGGGGCCGGCAGCCATGGCTGAGGGCATGTACTTCAAAAGGGGCGTTTCTGTCCCACTAATACTGTGTAAACATGTACGCCATCCAATTTTTAATCAAATAAAATGTTCTGTCTGATGGATCCCTTCATCTGTATGACAAACAGTTTTAAGTAAAGAGGATCTCGGCTTGCAGAATAAGTAAAATTGTTTAAATTCTAGATGAATGTGTTCAGTGCTTGATGGGCTAATGCTGGCTGGATTTGTGAAGGTCAGTCATATACATGGAAATTCTTCTGCATTCACCTTAGGAGAGTGATATTTTTAGGCAAACAGAGCTTGCGATGTTTTCTTTCCATGCCACCTGCCCTCTTGGTGTCTGGCCCTGCGTCCTCAGAGGACTGTGGTGGGCTGGTGTTCTTGGAGAGGAGGCCTCTCCAGGACCACCAAGAGGCCTAGGGTGGGCTCTTCTAGTGGCATGAGGGCCACCCTTTATTCATGTAAGCGTTGTGAGGTGGGAAGGGAGGCCAGGCAGGGGAAGGGTAGAAGAACGCCTGTTGCTTGGGTTGGACACTCGATGAACTTTCACCACTGGACATAGTGTGAACATCGGAGAGGCACGTTCAGCTATCACGTTCCACTCTCCCATTCCCCGGAACTCGAATTCAAGCCTGTGTAAGCAAAGGTTCTGTGCTGCCAGGCTGGGCCTTTGCCCAGGGAAGGCACAAGAGAGTGAACGCAGGGCCGGCCGCTGGGCCTGGTGACTGGGCTGCTCAGCAGTGCCCACAGGGCGTTCCTTGGGGTGTGGCCTGGGCTGGGGCAGTAGGCTCCCTTGGACAGGGCTGTGTCTGGCTCACATGAAGCTGCCCTTATGGAACGGAGTGCAGTGGGGTGTTTGTGGTCCTGCTGCCGTTGGCTGGGCGCAGCCATCCCTGCCAGCTCCCCCGACCTGTGCCCTGGGCCCTGCTGCACCTGGATGGGTGGGGCTCTGGGGTTGGCGGGGGAGTGAGGCCACCAGTCTCCTCTGCTGTGGCTGGTGTGGGGGCCAGTGGGGCGCAGAGCTGCTCACCCGGCTGACTCCCCCTTGTGCCCTGCTGGCCTCTGAGCTGCTTCTCTGGGGCCTCTGTGAGTGCCGTGGCCGTGAGGACCAAGTCTCTGCCCAGCTGGGGGGCGCCCCTGCCCCTGCCCTGCTGCAGCTTGGGCCACCAGGAATCCTGACGGATGCGGGGATGCAGCCACTGACACCCAAACACCGGGGCGTTTCACCCAAGTGTAAAAGTCTACACTTCCGGGCTTCTCAAACAAAAGAAAACAAAGGAAAACTTCAGATGCCCTGTCGATGGGCGTGCGTGGCCGTGCTGAGCCGCTCTTCAAAGCCGGCAGCATCTGTCTGGCCTGTGCTCTGCCCACTGCCCACAGGTCCTGTCCTCTGGCTTGCCCTGTCCTCCCTGGCCGGCTGCGCTGGTGTCTGTGATGCTCCGTCCTCTCTGTGGAAGTGCAGGGCAGCACCTTAAAGGCTGAGCGCATCCCACACAGTGGGGCTGGAGCTCGGCACCTGCGGTTCACCCCAAACACCGCCCTCCCGGTGTGCACAGCTGCTGCTGCCCCTGCTGCACCCCAACACGTGGGGAGCTGGTCTGAGCCTGCCGCACCTGCTCCCCTGTGATCTCCCTCTGCCACCCCCATCTCGGGCTCCATGCCCCTTCCTCAGTCCTCCCTGCCCGGGGCTGCTCTCCCGAACTCAGCAGAGCAAGGCTGGCCAGGAGTAAGGACAGGGGCGACCACAGGTCCCAGAAATCCTGAATCCAGGGAAACCCCTCAGTCCGGGGCAGACTGGAATGGCCGACCACCCTGCCTAGGGGAGGGCCCTCCAAAGTCTTTGACCCTGAGCTAAGTTCTCTCTGCTTCTCTGAGTCTCTTCCTGTCTCTCTGCCCCTCTCTCTGTCTGAATATCTGCCTGCCTCTCCCACACACACCTGAGACACAGGTCTCACAGAATAGCCCTTGGCCCTCTCTGCCAGGAGGGTGGTTCTCGGAGGTTCCTGTCCTCTGTGGGGATGCTGACAACTGTGGGTCATGGCTGGTGCCACGGTTCTCACTCTTGGCCGCACAGAGCAGCTAGGGGCTGCAGGTCAGGCCCTGCCTAGCTCCGCATGGCCCTGGTTTACTTAAGTGACAGGCTGGGGTGAGGGGAGGAGAAGGCCAGGGTGTGACCATCGGTTTCATTTCTGCTTTCCCCTAGCTCCCTGAGTCAGGCACTGGCAGAGTGGCAGCTGGTTTGTAGGACACCCATCTGTCGGTAGGGCATGAGTATCCTCGGCTCTGTCCTGCTGGGAATCATGGGTCCTGGCCGTGGCACCAGGGCCGGCTGTGTTTGTGACCTGGTGCATCCTCAGGAGAAGGAGAGCAGGCGAGGCACCAGGGAACGTAGGATTTGCTAATGAATTGTGTTTCAAAAAAGGTGGGTTTTTTTTCTGTTGTCAGACATCAGGAAACAGGTAGAGGCTGTGACCTTTGAGCCAGTCAAATGAATCTACAGAGATTAAAGGAGGATTGTGGAGTGAAAACCAAAACAAGCCAAACATAGAGGAATCCGTTTACCCTTTCAGCGGCGTATTTCACTGTTGCCGCACCTTTATTAAAATGCTTCTCTCAAAGGAAACATTGTATAGTTTTTTCCGGCTTTAAAAACCCAGGCCGTGTGTCTAAAGGTCACTTGACGAAGAGCACAAATCCGATGGTAAAGTGCAGGGCGTGGAGGGTGGGCCTCCCGTCCAGCACCAAAGCGGGCTCTGGCGGGCTCATCCCTCCCAGGGAACTTGGGTTCTGCACGGACTTAGTGTGAGAAGAAAAGACTTCTTCAGACATTTTGAAGTTAACATATTTCATTTGTATTAAAGAGCTCAACCCTCCTTGGAGAACAAGTGCTAAATGTGGCATCCACACAGCCAGCCCTGTAGGGGAATTTGAGATTGGACCAGAATGGTAGATTTGTACATGTCATCCAGGACCTTCCACCCATCCATCTGCAAATCTATCTGTCCCTCCACCCACCTATCCACTCATCCATTCCTCCATCCATCATCCATCCGTCCGTCCATCCATGCATCCATCTATCCATCCACCCATGCATCCATGCATCCATCCATCCATGCATCCATCCATGCATCCATCCATCCATCCATCCATCCATCCATCCACTCATCCATTCATCTATCTATCCATCCATCCATCCATCCATAACCTACCCACACATCCATTCACCCATCTACCCATCCATCCATCCATCCATCCATCCATCCATCCATCCATCCATCCATCCATGCATCCATCTATCCATCCACCCATGCATCCATGCATCCATCCATCCACACCTCCATCTATCCATCCATCCCTCCATCCATCCATAACCTGCCCACACATCCATTCACCCATCTACCCATCCACCATCCATCCATCCATCCATCCACCCACAAATCCACTGGTCCATCCATCCATTCATCCATCTATCCATCCATCCATAACCTACTCACCCCCTGCATCAACCCGTCCATCCACACACCACCTATTCATTCATCCATCCATCACATACCCACGCACCCATCTGTCTATCCATCCATCCATCATCAACCCATCCGCTCATCCATCCATTCACCTACCCATTCATCTGTCCACCCATCCATCCATCTATTCATCCAGCCATCATCTGCCTGCCCATCCATCCAACTATCCATTTATCCATCCACCCAACTGTAATCAACCATCCATCCACCCAGCCATCTACTCACCCCCTTTCCCTCTCACCCTCCCTCCCTTTCTCCCTTTCTTCTTTCTTTTGTCCATCCATACATCCAAGTGCCCCTCCCTCACCTGCTCCCTCAGCATCCATACATCCATTCATTTACCCATCCATCCATCCAACTATCCACTCATCCATTTATTCATCCAACCATCCACCACTCATCCATTAACCCACCTGTGCATTCATCAATCTGCTTATCCCTTTCTCTCTCTCCCACCCTTTTCTCTCTCTCCTTTCATCCATCCAGCCTTCCATCTATCCATTCATCCCTTATCTATCCACCCGTCTATCCATCCACCTGCCCCTTCACCCACCCATTCATTCATCCATCTGTAAACATATATTAAATGCCACTGTCTTCCATGTACCGGGCCTGTTCAAAACACTGGCTGAAGTGAGTGAGACTAACACAGTTCCTGCTGGGAAAAGAGACAATGAGTCATCTGCCTTCAATATGACACCTGCTGGAGAAGACCTGGGGAGAATGGGTGTTTCAAGGAACACTGGCCAAGGGCCAGAACCCGGAAGCTGGAGTGGGAGCAGACTTCCAGTGGTGATGTCTAGGGGAAGCTGACATGGCATAGGAGCTAGTGGGTTAAGGTTGGAAAGTTCATGGTGAGAACAAAAAGAAGGTAGTTCCAGATGAGGGAACAAGAGGAAGTACAGGATAGGAAGGAGAGTGAAGCCTGGGAAGGCGTCCTAAGGGCTGGTAGTGTCTCAGATACCCAAACGCCCAGGCAGGATGGACGTGCTTTCTCTAGTGCCCTGGGAACGTCCACCACAAACTGGGTGCTTGAAACAGCAGAAGTTTGTCATCTCACAGCTCTGGAGGCCAGAAGTTTGAAATCACGGTGTTGGCAGTGTTGGTTCCTGTTGAGGCTCTGGGGCAGCATCTGTTCTGTGTGTGTGTCTTCAGCCCCTGGTGACGGCTGGCAGCCCTCAGTGAGCCTTGGTTTGCAGGCGCATCTCTTGATGTCTGCCTCCGTTGTCACACGGTGGTCCTGTCCTGGTCTCTGTTTCACTGTCTGTCCTCCCCTTCCAAGGATACCAGTTGTGTTGGATTTAGGGTCTCAGTGTCTCTCCTCTTCTCTTATAGGGTCCCTGTCATATTGGATTTAGGGCCCACCCTACTCAGATATGACCTTGTCTTGTCTAATTGCATCTGCAACGACCTTATATTCACATAAGGAGTCAGGACTTCAGCCTTCTCAGGGGATACAATTCAGCTTTTCCCACCACCCCACTAGCCAGTGCTGCAGCTCACGGACCCTTCCTGCCATGAGCGCCCACTCAGTGCTGGCCCTTCCTGCTGTTCCTAGTCTCGGCTTTTATGGCCACTGCACACGCCTCTCCATGTGTCTCTGTCAGGCATGCAGAGAGAACTGTGGGGCTTGTGATTGTCTTCCTTAGGTTGGAATCCTGCAGACTCTTGAGTGGAGATTGTTGTACTCCTGACTCACTGGGACTCGCAGGAGAAAACCAGAAGGAGAGAGCGGGAAATAGGCCAAGGGAAGGGAGAGGCCGGAGCAGACGTGGTTTCAGGTGGGGTCCAGTGGTCCTGACGGGGACTCTGGACATACATCAGACTGCAGGTCTGGATGGGGGCTTTGACCTCAAGGTGGTCAGGGTCTGGCCCTGGGCCACCCTGGCACACGCTTCAATTCCAGGAGCCCCTGAACGAGGGCCCAGCTGCCCAAGGCAGGCCCTGGGGGCTCCAGGTGTGAGCTGTTGGCATGGCACCTGCAGCAGGGGGGCGTGGCCACCCCCGAGGGGAAGGGGCACCCTATGTGACAACAGGGAGGGTGGGGAGCAGCAGTAAGACTGCAGGCAGGTTCAGCCCTCGTGGTTCTCCTGCCACGGAGTTCACTCACCCATCTGAAAGGTGCGAGTGTCCTTCCTGTCCACACGCAGCCACATGGGGGCTCAGACTTTCCAAAGCCTGGCTGCTGTGATTGTGCTGCCGCGTCCTGTGGCGGCTGACTGCATTTCCAGGACAACCGGTGAGGTTGGGCCTCTTTTCATAGGTTTGTTGGCCACGTGGGCATTTTCCCTTGCTGGCAGTCATTCAAGGTTTCTGTCCACTTTTCTGATGGGGTGTCTGCCTCTTCCTTATGGACTTGTGGAGTTCTTTCTACATTCAGGGTGTAAGTGCCCCTCCCTCACCTGCTCCCTCAGCCACTCCCTGAGTAAATCACTCAGCGCGAGGACCCCGTGTGCACCTGCAGTATGTTATTCTGGTTGCCTGCAGAGCCTGCAAGCTCGCCAGCAGCCAGCGGGCATGGGGCTGGCACCAGATGCCATCCACAGCTCACACGCCGGAGAGGCGGGATCCCACATGCGGGTCCTCACTCCTCCCTGCTCGGGGACTGCTGTGCCTTTGTTTTGGGACTGGGGGAGGTCCTCAGCTGGTTCTTCCCCTGGTGCCCTGATCCTGGGTCCACCTGTGACCAGTGCCTGCAGACCCCACACCTCTGAGAAAGGCTTCAGTGGCATGGGCCTAGGCTGGACCATGACCCACTCAGCAAAGCCCAGCTGTCTCTGTGACCAATGGCCATCTGGGCCAGCCCCTGCTGCTGAGCTGCTGGGACCACAGGCAGAGGAGACCCACCCAGCCCCGGAGCCCACCTCTCCAATTGCTGGGGCTTAATACAGTTGCCCATGAGGCTGTCAGAGTCCTTCAAGTCTCAGCCCACGTAGTGACTTATGGCCACCCACATAGTATCTACCTGGACCCCAGACCTGAGTGGTCAGCAGGGATCACACCTGGGGGCTCCAGGTGTGAGCTGTTAGGGCGGCACCTGCAGCAGGGGGTGTAGCCGCCCCGAGGGTAAGGGGCATCCTATGTGACAACAGGGAGGGTGGGGAGCACCAGTAAGGCTACAGGCAGGTTCAGCCCTCGTAGGCAGCACAGCACTTGTCCTGCCACAGAGTTCACACACCCACCTGAAAGGCACGAGCGTCCTTCCTGTCCACATGCAGCCACGTGCCTGTGGCACCTGCTACAATGCAGCAGTAGCAGTGCCCCACGTGCTGCCGGGCACAGAGCCCTCGGTGTGGGGTGTGCCCTCAGGCAGTTCGGGGCAGGGCTGCAGGTGGGGCTGGCAGGAGTGGCACGTCTTATCACAGGTCACTGCCTGGAGGGGGTGGCTGCCATCCTATCACAGGTCATGCTGAGGGCACTGGCATTTACTCCAAGCACCAGGATAACTCTGGGGTTTCCTTGGGATGTGGCCTGATCTGTTGGTATCTAGAAGAATCCTTTAGGCCACAGAGCAACGAAAGACACTTGGACTGAGGGCCAGGAGCCACTAAGATCTGGGACGGAGCTTGGAAGGGGCTCTTGGGGTGGGCAGCGGCAGTGGCCAGGCAGTATGGTTGGAGTCTGGACACGTGGGGAGCCCACAAGAATGTTGACAGGCAGGTGAGGGGCTGGGGGAGAGTGGTGCAGGATGGCACGGAGGTCCAGCCTGAGCAAGTGGGCACAACATAAAGCAGGTGTCATGACCTGCCACAGGGGACCCTGCAGGAATGTGGACCTGGGTGAGGGTCACCACTGCACCCAACACTGTATGGGAGCCCAGGGAAGGGGAAACAGGTCACACCCAGCACACCTGCATGGGAGCCCGGGGAGGGGGGCAGATCACACCCAGCACACCTGCGTGGGAGTCCAGGGAGCGGGGGCAAGTCACGCCCAGCACACCTGCGTGGGAGAGTAGTGGATGTGTTACCTCTAACATCTAGGCTTTAGGGGAGGCCAGAAGGAGAGATGGGCAAGAGGCATCAGGTGAGGAAGGGCTTGCTTGGGTGGGCTGGGATGGGGCGGAAGCTGACCTCAGGGTGTGAGCAGGTGAGCTCGGCCTGTGTAAATGGATGGCGCCCAGAGGAAACGAGGCAAGGAGGCTGAGGCAGTTTTTCCGTTGTGGACGTCTTTTATTGTGCTTAGGGACCCACACGATGCTGACTAGAGAGAGGTCGACAGACACGGACAACACCTGGGTCGCTACACGGAGCCCCTCCCCAGGAGGCGATGGGGAAGCCGCCGTCTGTGTCCCTCCCCAGAAGGCGATGGGGAAGCTGCCGTCTGTGTCCCTCCCCAGAAGGTGATGGGGAAGCCGTCCTCTGTGCTAAATGCAGCCGCCTGGCACTTCACAGGCTGACGGCTCCCACTGAGCATCACACTCCAGCCCCTGGAGCCCACGTCCACTTGCAGAGAACAGCCATGACTGGCCCTGCACGGACCCTGCCCTTGGGCAACACGCAGGCAGGCCCACCGACTCGAGGCACGAATTCAAACTATGGCATCCACCTTCCTGTCAGTGGCAGAGGGCAGCGTGCCATGGAAAGCAGCTTTTGGCCAACATCCTTCACTCAGTATTGCTAATTATTCTTGTAAACAAAAACTGCAGTATCAGCAGGCAGGTTTGCAGATACTGCATTCTTGAATTTGTTTTGATTCACAGGTAAATATGATTTTAAAAAGCCATTCCCAAACATAGAAACTGTTGTTACTGATGTGACATGCACCTGAGAGAAATAAAATTCCAGTGGGGTCTCTTCCTGGAGGTCATGGCTCAAGGCCAGGCAGAGTGTGGTCTGCAGGCTGCCTGCATGGGGGCTCTGCATGCGTCCTGGGGTAGTATACGCTCCTGTGGGGCCCTGCATGCATCCGGGGATAGGACACTCTTCTGTGGGGTCCTGCATGCGTCCTGGGGTAGTATACGCTCCTGTGGGGCCCTGCATGCGTCCGGGGATAGGACACTCTTCTGTGGGGTCCTGCATGCATCTGGGAATAGGACACACAGCTGTGGGGCCCTGCATGCATCCGGGGGCAGGACACGCTCCTGCAGGGGCCCTGCATGCATCCTGGGGTAGTACATGCTCCTGCGGGGGCCCTGCATGTGTCCGGGAATAGGACACGCTCCTGTGGGGCCCTGCATGCGTCCGGGAATAGGACACACAGCTGTGGGGTCCTGCATGTGTCCGGGAATAGGACACGCTCCTGTGGGGTCCTGCATGCGTCCGGGAATAGGACACGCTCCTGCCAGTGCTTTCCCTACACCAAAAGGACCCACAGGCTGCCCAAGTGGCAGTAGCCTGAGCTGGTTTCAAGGAGTTTTATTTCTCTCTGCTACAAGAACATAAACAGAATTTCCTGGTGAGACGTACCAG